TTTCATACATTCCTCAGTAGATGTCAATTTAAAATTATCTTTTTATGCTGGAAACATTTAAAGGAAGTTATGAGACTGGGAAAGAAGAGGTTTTAGTTTTAGTTATGAATGTTGAAAAACTCTGTAATAAGCAACATAACTGGTAAACTGGATACATTCTAAGAAATAACAGCTGCCTGAGAAATAAAGACCATTATTTACACAAGTGCATCATGAGATATAAATAAAATAAAAATGGCAAAAGCAATTTGCATAAATATAGATTTACATACATATTCTATAATAACTTCAGTAATAACATACAAGTGGTGAAATTATTTGAGACAGTTAAGATTATTTCCTGCACAGGAACAGGTTTCACTTACAAAAAGTGATATATATGCATAAATGTATACATGTATATATGTATAAATATTTCTACATACAAAGCATGGATGTATATGTGTGTGTATGTTTATTTGTGCAATATTTAGATTTTTTACTACATGGTTTTGGACAACCTTTTTGTTTCCTTTTTTTCCGTGTTTTTTCAGTTGACAAATTGGTTCTGCAAAAGTATGCAATTTGTACTTTCAAAGAAAAAGCAATAATGCAGAAAGTTGAAATTCAAAGTTTCTTGGCAATCAAGTCTGAGACATGATGAAAACTCAGATTCAAAATGGAAAATTGGAATTCAAATTTAGATTCAAAAATGACCTTGAAAAAAAATCCATCTGGATGGACAGAATAAACAAAATTTTGTTGTACATAGTTTTCACAGGCAAGGAAAAAAAAAAGCCAAACAGATAAACAAACAAATAAATCCCCATTTTATTGGATTCTAATAGTTTTTTACTAAGATGGCTTTCTATATCCTTACCTTGAAAGATACTCAGTATAAGCACTTCAGCAATCACTGGCAATTGTATTTCAGGGACTCCTGAAATACAGGCGTTTGTGGTGTCTGTGGTAACTGTGGTATCTCCCTAGCTAATAATAGTGTAATCTTTCATTAAGATTGAGTAACTTTTTTCCTCCAAGTTTTGAGAAGAGAATAGACAAAATGTGAACCCCAAACAGATAAGAACTCCACAGTTTTAGTCTAATTGTTACTTTATTTTCTGTGGAAATCCCCGAAAAAAAAAAAGTTACTGATGATGGGGTTAGTTAATGGAATGAAAAGTGGCAGCACTAACTGAAAAAGAGAAGGGAGAAAAAGCCTTTGGACATTCTCTCCTGATACAAAAGGAAAAGCACTCAAGGTATAAGTGGCCCATGGGATATTTTTGTTCTTCTCCTAGAGTTAAGGCACAAAACATGTTAAGACCTTACTAGATTTTCATTGGCAAGATTAATTTATGAGGTACTCCTGTTTTTTTTTTTTTTTTTTTTTTTTTACATACATACAACTTCAGAAGACTGGGGCAAATGTAGCAATAACAAACTCAGATTATCATTTCAGAGTTTCTTATCTGCAAGGAAAAGGAAAACAGAAGAGAAAGAATGCCTTTTGACATTCTGAATACATGATAGGTGAACGTATAAGGCTGATACACTAGTTCCTGCAGAGAAAATCGATGCTATTCATTTAATGTCATTGATCTTAAGCAAAATGAAATAAACTCTAGAAAGAGCATAATTAACAGATGAAGGCAAAAAAAAAAGTTAGTTAACTGAAAATGTTGCAGAGAAAACAAATTACCATTAATAACATAGAATGGAGATTTGGACAAGAAAAATTTCTTAAAGTATCAAGAAATTTAACATCAAATTCTTTAACAATTTGACAATTTGTAAGAGAAATTGGATTTTGTACTGTATTACTGAATTTGAGTTGAAAACTACAGTATTTTCCATTTTATGAGTATTAACAATGGTTGTAATCTGCCTGAGAAGGACCAAGGAAACAAAAAGACAAAGCACATCTAATTCTGAATTATGAACAACATGAAAGTAGCGATCCCAAAGAGTTATGATCAGACTTCTGGTAATAATCTAAAGTTGGGGCACAATATTTGATCTCACAATATTTAATCTCACAATAAATAAGTAAATAAATAAATAAAACAGATCATTTTTTTGTAGGAATTTTTGGTACTGAGTAGGAAATAGTCTGTGTACTAGATCAATTTTCCTGTTAGCTGCCCATGTCTTCCAGGTACAATTTTTCCAAGGACTTTATAGCCTTCATTGTCTCTGGTGATGAGGTGATGGTCATGTTTGTAGTTACTGAAAAGATTCTATGATTCTTAAAGTTCAGGAGTTTATGAAGTATTCTTATTGCTGGACCACTGATCAAAAAAAAAGAAAATGACATCCTGAGACAAATGACCTCTCTTGATTAGCAGGTCAAATGTCTTTGAGCCACAATTTAGAGCTGTTTGGAGCCTTCTGAGCCACAGAAAGCAGCAGATCATTACAAATTAATTGAGCCCTTTGATTTCTCATTTTTCATTTTCTGTGTCAGCACTGGATATTCTTGAAGCACAAAGAAGATTTAGAAAAGGTGTCACCTTTCAGAATTAAGTGTAATTAGCAGGTTCCTTTCACTGCAAATTAGCCTGCAAAGCACATTCCAAGAAAAAGGTTTGAGGGTCTTGAAACCAATTAACTTTCTGGTTATATTCATCTGGTGAAATAGCTATTCTATTATTTATATTAACTAGTGAATAACATATGGAACTTTTTAAAAAAATCCTCTTTCCTCATCACTCTTTTCAAAATCTTGATTTTTTTTTTTAAGTGAACTGCTACTTCACAGACCCTTACAGCTCATTTAAGCTATATCTCCTTTTACATGTGTGGCAAACCAGTAAAATAGACCTGAAAGTAAAATAGGTACTGCTGATGACCTGACCTTTATATATTTTTAGAAGTTTTCACTTTGGATTGTTTCTTGTCAGATCTTGTAGACTGAGTCATATTCATTTACACCTTCAGTCCATTATAGTTTCTTGGTGTGTCTTCTTCTGTAGTTTCATCCAAGAATAATCTAATTGATGTTCTCTGAGACAGCTTTGTAATATGAAACAAAGTGAGGAAAATCATAAGATACACTTCAAATAGTTACTACTCATCCAGACAGAAATATTGAAGTAGTCTCACGCCCTCATTAGTGTATTTTTTGTAAAAGGTAATGAAAAGGGATAGAATGTCTCTATTCTTTATTTTGTCTGTCATGCTTCTATTTTGTTATCTTTGAGGTGAGAATACCTATAAAATATTATTATATAATAAATAATGTATAGTCCTGAATGATAGAAATTAAAAATAGAGGATTTACTGTTAAAATAAATGGATCCTGAATTTTTGTTTTTATTATTTTTGTTATATTAGCTACTTGTTCTGGAGTTATCCAAAACTAGATGGGTGTCTTGGTATAATGAATACATACTGTGAAATTTAGTTGAGATAAATAAATAAATGTTCCTAAGTGTTATCAAAATTTGAATAATGAATTAGGATCCTCTGGAGATAGCTATTGCATCTCTTGTATAGTGTCTGTGTTTATTAAAGACTTCAATATGAATATAAGCTCCTTAGGGATTGAGTATCCTTATTTCTAAAGTTAATGATTGGTAGAACTGAGCAAACCATCAAAAATGATTAAGCTATCACAAATTAATTAGGCATTGCCCAGCACTTGAGCCAGAGTAATGATCATATATGTGTTCTCCATCTGCCCCATATAGAGGGTAAAATATAGTAGCTCAAAGCACTTTAAAATTATAAAGCTAATTCAAACTGTCGTATTTTACATTACAGCTTGGATGAGGAGAGCACAAGCAACCAATTACTACACTGGGTGATAAGTGGTAATGTGCTTTCTTCAGGAACATATTTTTGCTATTTTTGCTTAGATAAAATACTTGACTATATGCAAAGGAATGAATATTTTCTCTTGGTTTCTAAGTTCTCCATCTGAGTGTTTCATCAATGCAATTACATGTATTATTTAAAAAAAAAAAAAAAAAAAGCTAGAAATGTGACAATCTTTCCAGGAAGTATTTGGTGTAATATTTGGTAACTGGCCTATCACTAGTGGTGTCCCCCAGGGGTCAGTCCTTGGTCCAGTCCTGTTCAATTTATTCATCAATGACCTGGATGAAGGCACAGAGTGCTCCCTCAGCAAGTTTGCTGATGATACCAAACTGGGAGAAGTAGCCGATACCCCAGAGGGCCGCGCTGCCATCCAAAGGGACGTGGACAGACTGGACAACTGGGCGATGAGGCTGAGGAAGCTGGGCCTGTTCAGCCTGGAGAAGAGAAGCCTGAGAGAGGATCTAATCAGTGTATATAAGTACCTCAAGGGAGGGAGTGCAGAGGATGGTGCTGGTCTCTTTTCAGTGGTGGCCACTGATAGGACTAGAGGAAATGACCGGAAACTGAAGCACCAAAAGTTCCACAGGAACTTAAGGAAAAATTCTTAACAGTGAGGGTGACAGAGCACTGGAACAGGCTGCCCAGAGAGGTATTTTTATTTAAACAATAGATTTTTATTTATTGAAGAGATTTATTGAGATTTTTATTTATTGAAGAGTAAGCTAATATATTAACAGTTTCACTAAAAATGAAATGATCTTGTAAAGTTAAATGCTTCTAATAAAGGTTATCAAAAACAGTCCTTTTAAGTGAAATGTGTCTGTGGGGTATGGTACCTGCTTCTGTAATAGGCATTTGATCTTGTTAACAATAGGAACATCTATATTACAGGAAAATCATCCCAAAGACTGAAAGTTAATTTCTATGTCTGTATCTATATCTGTACGTATGTATCTATGCATATGACAATTTGTCACTTTCTTTACATCTCAGGAAGAAGAATCAAGTTAGAATTAAATGCATTTTTAAATTACTTTTAATGTAAAAAATGTATTAATAATATATTATTCTTCCTACTTTGCAATTACAATAAAATATATATTTTAAGTTTACAGGGTTTTTTTGGGGGGGGAGGAGAAATGAAATATCTAATATACATACAGCAATTTCAATAACACCAGTTTTTACACTTTTTGCAGACTTGTCCTCAGTTCTGTCTCTGACTACTTTGCTGCCATGTTTACAAGTGATGTTTGTGAAGCCAAGCAAGAGGAGATCAAAATGGAAGGCATAGACCCCAATGCACTGTGGGATCTTGTGCAGTTTGCATATACAGGTATTGCAATGCATACGTTCTACTCACTAGGAAAAAAAAAATGATGTTGCTAAATGACTATTGTTTAAATTTTTGCTAACTTGTGTAATTTATTTGCCTTTCTTTTCCTTGAAAATTGGTATTTTGGTGGCTACTGCTTAGTCAACAAGAATGTAATAGATTTGAACTTTTAGATGTTTAGAACAAGACAACAGCAATCAACAATAGTTTGCTAGCTTTGACTTTTTAACTCATATTGTGAACATATATGTATGTTTTACAGTAATTTCTGGGGGTTGCAGATATAAAGTATTTCATATCCTGTAGAAAATGTTAATTGGTTTTATTGTTTTAATTTCTACAGTTTGCCCAAAGAACTGGTCCTAACAGTATATAGATAAATCACCCTTTTCTGTGATTGTGTGATATTGGTGATTTGCTTCCAAAGCATTTAATTTCACACATAGTTGTATATATCTGGGAGAAGCTTTTGTGTTGGGGGCAACGATATTTCAGTAAAATACAGCTGATCATGAGTTTGTTTTCAAACACCTAAAGGCTATCAGTATCACATTGCAAATTCTTTTAGGTATGATTAAAAAAAATAAATAACCAAAATGAAAAAATCTAAATAATCATATCCATATTATATTAACCACAGTTTTCTCCATCAGTTTTATAATGTATTAGAATCTAGTGAAAATATTTCATTTTTAGAATGAATCAATAGTTTAAGAAGGGTAAAACTATGCATTTTTATTATAAAGTATTATTTCACATAAAAGCATCCTTTTGAGAATGTTCCCAGACTTCCCTTCAGTTTTAGCAGTAAAACTAAATACTAAAAACTCTGAATTAGAGTCTTTTAGCAAAGGACAGGTTTTATACATCAGAGATAAAAGAAGTTTGGTGTATTCATCTAGAAAGGAAGTTGTTAATGTTTGCCATATCTTTGAATAAAAACAGGAACAATATTAATTTAGTTACTAAATACACAGCTTTGGATATCTCGAAGTTTTCTTGTTAACCACTGTTACCATATCCTCTGAAATGATATGGTTTTCTGGACAGGATTTCTGGAATTACTGCTCGGTGCCATTTCTTCTAAGACACTGACAAAATCCATTTGGCATCTCTGTGTATTCTAAAGAGGCAGATGATGGAGCTGTGACATGAGCAGCTGGACCCTGTTCACTGATGTATGAGCAAATAGGCCTCAATAGCCTGCTAAGTACTTGGTGCCTGGCAGAACATCACCTCTGGACTTGATAAAAACTTGTAACTTAAGAACGTCTAAATAAGACAACTGTGCATCTGAATAGCAATGGGAAAACTGAACTAGCAGACAATACTGAATTAAAAGGAATGAGGGGTGCTGAATTTTCTGTGAAGAAGCCTCCTTAGAATTATTACTAATTAGTAAATTCATTTGCTAAATGTATCTTTAAAGCACAATTTGGATAAAGCTAAAAAATAAAAAAAGAGAGAAAGAGATATGCTTAAGCATATATCATGCAGGATATTTTAGATAGGCTTTGGAGTTCTTTTGTCAGTCACTAATTTTGTTTTACACAAAAATATTATAACTAAATAATTTAATTTTGTAAATAAATTACCTTAATAAGGTAAAATTTGTATATTATTTTATTATCTGAAATAAATACAAAGTTTTCTAATTATCTAAGCTAAAATAATTACAGCAATATTGGATAGCATAATTCAAATATAATTTATGTAGACATATATTTTGTAAATCTATTAGTAAAACTGCGTTCATTTACTACTGCTTTCTCTTTGTATCAGTTACTCATTCTTTCAATAGTCTGCATTAGGTTTTTACTACATTTGCAAATCAGCAGATTTAGTGAATAATGACTTTCAGCTAAAGTCATACTCAAAACAAGAAACATTCTTTAAAATACTTAGACTGAGTAATAAAATAAATGTATGTCTATATTAGACAAGGAAATGACAATAGCAATAACAAAATTAATATATTGATTTACATGGAAATTAATGAAAATTTTCATATGCTTATAATATGAAATTATTTTGTCTGAGTAAATTTTTTTCTATTGATTCAAAACTTCATTTGTTTCAAAAATTTGCAGACATTATATTTTAAACCTGTTAGTAGTAAAAAGGCATACGCTGAAAAAAGGTTTTATAAGATAAATTCTTAAATTTATTTCATTATAATATTTATCAAATATGAATATATATGTATTAGCATGTGTATATATATATATGCATATATATATAATTCCTAAGTGCCATCTCTGCAGTTTCTGTATGCTCAGACTTTCATTTAATAGCTCATATTTATTTTGCTCATTTTCATACAATACAATTTATACTGTAAGGATATGTTCATTATTTTAGTTACCTGCAGCTTCTCTGTCTCTCACGGATGATAGCCTTTAAGCAGTGTTCTGACTATCAGAGAATTAATCATCTATCACAAAAAAAGGACAATTTATCATTGCAGTTCATATTTGTCTAAAGTTAAAAATCCAGTTTTATTACAGATTTTTTTTTCAAAATCATGGATTGTTGTAGTTTATATAGATTTGTAAACTACAATGTGTTTTTTTCATTTTTTTCTTTTAAAGTTTAATCATAAATCTTAATGACTTTTACAGTGAAAAATGTAAAAAATAGGAAAGTTCAATATATACATCTGCTTTCTCTTTGCTGTATTTGGTTCACTGAAATGAAGCAAGCACACATAGTCTGTGATTTAGCAGATCTATAATGTAAAACAAAACCGAGTTTCTTCCTTTGTGTGTTTGCTGAATGTTTTATGTGAGCCCACTGAGGAGCTCCGAAGCCAACATTTATGTGCAGTGGTTCATGTGGAAACAAGGTTTCATTTCTCAGGCAGCGAGAGAATTGATTTTAGAAAATGTAAGTTTGAGATCATAGTGCCCTGGGTTACATACGTTCCTATGTATTCATTAATCTTGTTGGAGTTCAGGATCAGCAGTAATATAGAAGACTATTTCTTTAACTCATTTTTCTTAGTTTTTGAATCTTTCTTGATCTTAAAACTTAATTTTTCATTATTTGCAATTATACTTACATATTTTAAATAGGAGCTGAATGGAAGTCTGCTGCTGGTGATTCTGGGATTCTTTGATGTTGTTACCAGACCCTGAAGTTCTGATCAGCCTGCATCAGACTAGCTAATAAGTATGTGTTTCCAGCAGTGGCCAGAAGAATAGGTTGATGCTTTCATACAATTAATGAAACTGCAAAAAAAAAAACACAACAGGGAAAAAAAATCTTTTATTTCTTTATGACTATCCATCTATATATAAATGGAAAAAAGATCATATATGAAAGAGCATTATGCCCTACTGTATGACTCCTAGTTTGATTTTAATCTTTGCATTTTTTGATTAGAAGTCTGTCAAATGTCCTCACTGTCAGAGGTATATCTAGTAAAACATGTAATATAGACTAACGAGATATATCAAGATAGAAAATACTTTTAAGGACAAGAACCTTATGTTCCTTGAGAGCAAAAACCTTATTAATTAAATACTTCCGCACAGGTTTGGGTGATTTTGTGTTTTGGTAGAATTTTTTGTTTTGTTTTGTTTTGTTTTGTTTGGGATGTGATTTTTTTGATCACTTAAACTCAGTTTGATATATATTAATAAATGATCCTTAGTATAGTTTTGGTCTGTGTCAACTTTCAGTTTTCTAAACTATTCCTTCATGCAGGGCAGGATTTTCCGTGCCACAGGATCATTCTTCAGCTAACAGTTTGGATGTTCCCATAATATTTGGAAGGATCACAGTGTTCAGAGTATACCACAGGTCATTCCAATTCAGCTGGCCTCAGCTCTAGAGGACAGTCCCTGACAAGTTTAATTTAAGATCAGCTCAAGGTCTTATATATATTAAAGGAGTCTGCTGAAAAAAAGTAATCTCAGTCTGTTAGGTCTGAGTAGCTTGTTTACAGTTTTTCAGACCACTCACTGCAGATCACACATACCACACTGATATTGTGTGGTATATATCTGGAGTGCCTTTCAGGAATACTGGCAGAGGGATAAGACAGCTAAAGAAAAAGTGAAAATAATAAAAAAAGCTAAAATAGCTGGATTTACCTGGAATATGGTTGCCTTTGTTAGCTATTGCATAATGAAGAGACAGAAGTCTGGTCGCAAGTGTTATCAGATTATGGTAGACCACAAATATATGAAAGTTCTGGATATGATGGCAGCTAACAAAAGAGATCTCTCATGTGTTTCTCTTCTCCTGTCCCTGGATCCTAAAACGTATTTCTATTGCCTTTCTTTTCCCTAATGGTGCCCGTGATATGGTGACTGTCCTGAAGCATGCCCACAGAACAGAATGCTAGCATAGTCAATGCTTCCAGCAAAGGAATCCAGGTTTTACTAGGCTCTGTGCTGAGCTCATGAGCAAAAATCTTCTACTGGCAATTGATGCCTCCATGTATGCAAACCTTTTGTTCTTTAAATGTGAACTTAAACTGCTCAGTGCTGCTGGATTACCACAGCACAAGCTGCCAAAGCTTAGCCTAAGAAGCTGAGAAGCTTAGTCTGGCGTGAGTATTCCTGCTTTTGAGACAGTTCCAGACATAGGGCTTGATTGTGTTTAATGTAATTGAAAGGTTATATCTCAATGGGATATAAGGAGATTTTTGTTTTGTTTAGGGCAGTTTGTTTATTTGATTTTTGTTTTGCTTTTCAACATACAATAGGATATGAATTGTATGGTCTTGATAGTATCAGGTCTTGTGCAAGGCTCGTCATGTGTAATAGCTCCGAAAGTTCAAGCTCAAGACCTATAGGAAGTAATCCTTAGAATAAAATGTTCTTAACTATATCTATTTTTTTCTTAGAACCTTTGTGTGTGTGTGTTGCCTGTGTGTAAGAGGTTGTTATTATTATTGTTGTTATTATTATTGCAGTTAATTTGCATGTATGCAGCATGATTACTGGGGTCTATAATCTGCAAGCAAACCTAGGAATTAATTTATTTAATAG